GCTCAGCACCCCACAGCCAGCAGCAGCCCCCAGCCCCGCACCATGACCCTCAGATGCTCAGGCAGCAGCAGGACACAGCCCAGGCTCCTGCACAGAGATGAGACCCGGGGACCTGGAAGGAAATGGGAAGGAAGCCCTGGGAACCAGCAAAGTACAAGAAACCAGCAGATGGCAACAGCACCTCGCCTTGGCTTCACAAGATTGTTCAGAGGGGACTGGGGAAGCCCCTCTCCTATGCCCCTGGGGCTGCCCAAGACTGTGGACGAAGCCCGCATGAGCCGCAGCTGTTTGCAGACACCTTTATTCGCAGGTACCAGCGGAGCTGTCAGAGCCCCACAGCACAAGCCCAGGGCAGGTTGTGCAGGTGACAGGAGCTGTGCCTCTCACAGGGATCCAGCAGCACACAGCAGCAGAGCTGCAGGGGATGCTCCATTTTCCAGGTCTGACTCTGAAGATCAGGCAGCAGGGACAGGAGAGGAGCATCGTTCCAGGCCACCATCCTCCAGGGACAGAGCCATTGGGTTCATTGATACCGGAGCACAGCATTCCCCGCCTGAGCTCCCAGCACACCACTTCCCCCCCCCCGCCCTTCCCAGCTGGAGCTGTGGTTTCCCCAGAAGTATTAGGCAACAAATAATTCCCACTATTTGCCTCAAGCTTCCCTGCATGCCGCTGCACAGCACAAGCTCACTGAGCCCCTGCAGCCTCACCCTGAGGAGCTTCTGCCTCTCTGGGGTGCCAGCACAGCCCAGGCTCAGCAGAGGTCCCAGGGCCAGCAGCCCATCTGTCCCTGCCCAGGGAAGGACAGCCACACGTCCCTACAGAAAAGCTGGGCGTTGGACACACCATGAGCATCCTGCACATCGCAGCCTCCAGCACAAGTGTTCTGGTCCACTCCCCTGCTGCTTTGAGCTGATTAAGAAACATGAACAGTGTTGATTATGATAGGTTTATAAAATTTTTTTCTTTTAATCACACAAAACCGAAGTTTGTGATGAAGACTAGGTTGACAGTTCCTCTTAAATACCAGTATGCATAAGACATTGCATTAGGCACTAGGCAGCAGCCAACATCAGTTAGAGTCTGGCAACAGAAGCCATTTTAATACCTCCCTTCATACTTTGTGGAATTACAGGCTTTTGCAATACATCATCTCCACTGACCGGTCATCCGAGGTTTCCCCCACCCCACCTCTGTACATCAGTAAACCATGTGTATTTGCACGAGAGCAGGGTTAACAACATTAGTGGCATCACAACCATCAAAAAAAGGACAATTTTCTATACAAGATTTTTGCAAAAGTTGCAACAGGATTAGTGCATTATGACAGAACCGGAGATAGAAAAAAAAAGAGTTGGCATGCTGGAGTCCAACACAAATAAAGACAACAGGCAGCTAGTTGTACGGACTATATTGACAAGATACTGATTGGTTACATGAGGAAACATACAATACAAAATACAGAAGAAACCAGTTTTGCTTCCCTCTGCCCCACCCCAGAATACTCATCATTGATTTGGTCAATAAGTGGCTGAGCAGCCGGAGTTTGTCACTAATGCTACAGTTTAGTGGTTGTTCTAGGCGGATCGTACGGTGTTAGCCCTGGCCCTTACAGACGGGTGCTTTAACCGAGGTTCTCTAGGTCGATATCCCTTTGTTTCCCATAGTGAACCACAGTACTGTGGGACCCGGCGCCGCTCGCCCCTGCGGGAAGGGGCGAGCTGGCTGGGCAGACACCAGGTCGTGCAGCCACCACCACCAGGAAGAGGGAAGAGCAGAAGTTCATATATTAAAAAAGTGACTTAAGACTTAGAATTGAATTAGTATTTGTACAGAAAGGTGCAGGTGGAAGAACTCCCTCCAGCCTATGATCAGAAAGGGATGGAGAAATCACAGCAGCCGCCGGCAGCAGCTGCTCTACGAGTTAGCGTGGGTTCCAGTCACGTCATCCGAGGCTCCGTCAGGCGGGACCGGCTGCTCAATTGCTGCAGCACTGGCTCCTGCTGGGCTGACTGCTCTCCTGAAGGTCCACCACACGATTCCTACCTGGGCCACCGGGAGCGTTCTGGGGTTCATTTTTTGGCAGTTTCTTGGCTGGAACGAAACAAGACATTAGTAGGCTCCTCTAGAGAGGCCAACCTCCTCCCCACTGCAGACCCCAGGCGGGGCTCAGCCCTGCCCCAGCCCCCAGCCCTCCTCCCTCCAGGAAAAAAAAACCAGGAGTTTGGGATCAAACACCGCTGGCAGCGAGAGCACAGCAAACAATCCACTTCTGGTTCTGGCTGTTATTAGTCCTGCTCTCCCCTTCCTCACCACCCGAGACAAAGGGAGAAAGGGAACAGGCTTTGCAAGGCCAAGGCTCCAAACGCTCAGGGAGTGGCTGGTCACAGAGGATATCAAAATGATCATCTGCTCCAGCACAAGCCCCCCAGACCCTGGCTGGCACGGGAGCTCCCATGGTTTCTACAGGATGCACTGCTGGTGCCCAGAGCTACCCCAGCCACCCGCCTGCACACAGGCTGTTACCTATTGCCATGAAGATTTCGTTCACATTCATCGCTGTCTTCGCTGACGTCTCCATGAACAGCAAGCTGTTGTCATCTGCATATGTTTGTGCATCCTACAAACAATCACATCGGAGTGGTGAAGGCACCCTGCCAAGAGGAGGCCCAAGCAGGCTCCACACACTTCACTTGCTGTCAAACTAACACCAAAGAAACCCTGTTCCAGACATTCCCACCCCCGGCCCCTGACCCCGCCTGGCCAGGACAGCCGGGACACACAGGACTGCACGGCTGGTGTCCCCACAGCCCAGCGGGGTACAGCAGCACAGACTGTTTGTGAGCCAAGCGCAGACAGTGTGTCCCGAGCAGCACAACGCCCTGTACTTTGGTTGGCTGGGAGAGAAACAAACACCAACTGCACCCCAGGCAATCCGCACAGGGGTCTGAGATAAGAGCTGCTCCTCCAAAGTTTGTCTCAGACAAGGCAAGAGCTGTGAGAGCAGAGAACAAGCTGGGAACGATTCTTCACAGGTCTTGTATCGAAGAGATGCTGTTTCACACCCTGCTGAAGGCAGCCCCGGATGAGTACGGGACCAGAGAAGACTGAAGAGAGAAGCTGGTGCTCTGGGGGCCTTATTCTCTGCGTTTGTCGTAACTGTTACCAACAAGAGCTACAAGGGCTGTGAAAGCAGTGCGTGGGAAAGGCAGGCTGCAGCTCCCTTGGAGTGGCATCTTGATAAATCTTGACTTCCACTCTCCCTCAAAGCATTTCGCACATAGCCATCACCATCTCCCCCAGTTCAGCAGAAAGCCACTTTCCTGACTTGCTCAGGTAACAACTGACCTGGATTCCCACTCACCTGGAAGTCCACAGCTCTCTTGTTGGCAAGGTCTGCCTTGTTTCCTGCTAGTGCAATTACAATATTGGGGCTAGCCTGCCTCTGCAACTCTTTCACCCAGTTCTTGGCTCGTACAAATGTGTCCTGGAAGCAAACAGGAGGCAGCAGTCAGGAAGGGCAGCCTCTCAATCCACAGCAAAGATATGATTAGAACAAGTCTTTCCTGTAAGGAGTGTTCTGCCTCTACAGCACTTTGTGGCAGGGTCCTTTATCAGCTTAGACAGCCCTGGTCAGAGCCGAGGGAGAGGCCGTTCGCAGTTTTCCAGAAACTCAGGACCTGCAGGCAGGCATCTGCGGGGACTCTGGACCCAGACACTCTCCCAGGGAACCAAAAAGCAGCAGCTGCAAGCACAGCCGCCTCCTCCCGACCAACACCGGCAACCCTACGCAGTACTCACTGTGTTAGTGATGTCGTAGACGACGATGGCAGCCTGGGCACCCCGGTAGTACATCGGTGCCAGGCTGTGATACCGCTCCTGTCCTGCTGTGTCCCATATTTCAAACTTCACCGTTGTGTCATCCAGACAGACTGTCTGCGTTAGGAAGGCAGCTGAAAGAGAAGGTGTGTGCTTGCCTTTCTTCCAGCTGCAGAGCCCCCATAGCCAGAGCCTGGGGCAGTTCTGCTCTTGCGGCATCGCTGGGATTCGCTTTGGAGAGCACCCCGGTGCCCGAGCTCTGCAGTCAGCCCAGTGACACTGCACTCCCCAGCGTAGCAACTGGTTATTTTCCTGTTCCAGCGAGTGTAACACCACGTGTTACAAGCAGGATAAAGGCAACCAGCCTTGGACACAGACTGAAGCAGAACACCAGTGCCCACATGGCCTCTGCAGCAGGCCATTAAGCGGAGCTTCCCTGTAAGCTCTACTCACAGCTGTACTTACTCCCTGCACAGGTTACTACAGGGAGAAATCACTCCTTTCCTCAGCACACACCTCCCCACTGCCCAGAGAGCCAGGTGCCAGCCGACCTTTGGTTGGTGACACCATGTAATGATCTCAAGCTAAAGAACTGGGAGCTGTGGAAGTAGTTAACAGGATCAGGCTGGAAACAACCCCAAAATTCCAGGTCATGGTCTGAAAAGATAATTAATGGCTATAAACCAAGCTGGAGGCCTCAGTTCTCATTAGAAGCAGGAATTCAGGCACTGGAAGTGAAGAGCCTGAGAGGCAGAGCACACGGTTGCCATAGCATTATTCTCTGCTGCACTGATCTCCTCACCAACAAACAAGTTGTCAAGCAGCTAATGCTTTAACTCTTGGTTTACTACCTACAGCAAAAACCCCAGATTGGAAACAGCCATTCATACTTCTGACACCCCCCAACTGCATTAGTGAGGCCAGCACCTGTCAGCCGTGGGTATTTGGGGTGGGCACTCACCTCCAATCGTGCTCTCCTGGTACTCGTGGAACTGCCCCTTCACGAAGCGCAGAACGAGGCTGGACTTCCCCACTGCCGACTCTCCCAAGAGGACAAGTTTGAACTGGCAGATTTTGTTTCCGGCGGCCGGTCCGTTCGGTCGAGCAGCTCCACCTCGACCTGCCATTGTGGCCTAAGTGCAGGAGTGCTGAGAGTGACGGGTGCTGCAGGCTCTGCGCTGGGATCCACCGGGAGGCAGGCTGGCACTG